TGTTTTATTGCCTATGGCATTGGCTGGATAACTTGTAGTACTTGATTGAATATAAATTGCAATAGTACTAAAAGATATTATTTTCTTATTCCCCAATTTAGGTAAAAATGCCTTATTATTTTCATAATTAAATATGATGTTACTGTTGCTTTCTTTTAAAAGAATTTCTAAGAGAAGGGTATTGTGTTAGTTAACTTTTTGTTAGTATAACTAAAACACCTGACATAGGTGTTTTCCAGAGGAAAGAAGTATCTGGGCTCAGAGTTTCAGAGTATTCAGTCCATGGTTGTACAACTCAGTTTCATTGGGCTTAAAAGGTAAGGCAAAACATCATGATAGAAGTGCTGCTCAGTTCATGGCAGAAATGAGGCAGAGAGAGAGAGAAGGGAAGAAGTGTGGGGAGAAAAGAAGATAAACACTTTTAGGACACATCCCAGTGACCTTTTTCTTCTCACTAGGTCCCACCATCAAATAGTTCATTCAGTAATCAAATGGATTAATCCACTGATAAAGTCAGAGCCCTCATGATCCAATCATTTACTAAAAGCTCTATCTTTGACACTTGCTGCTTTGGGACCATGTATTTAATATATGACTCTTTGTCATATGGGTCATTCCTCTCCTGGCCTCCAGAATCTCATACTCAGCTCACAATGCAAAATATATTCAGTCCATCTCCAAGAGTTCCCATATTCTTAAAACTTCTAGGATTGCTAAAAAGTCCAAGTCCAAAGTCTCCTTTGACACTCAAAGCAAAACTCCTGGCTGCAAGCCCCTATAAAAATCAAAAGAATATTACATACATCCAATATATAATGACATAGCATAAACATTTCCTTTCCAAGAGGGAATACATTTTAAAATCTTAAAATTTTTAGTTGAAACATGTGACTTTATTCCCATAATAATTTTATATGAGATTTTATTTGAAATGGATACATGCTGTTCCTGATAAAGGCTTTTGAATGATGATCTCTTTAAAGCTATTATAGCCCCCATCAATGAAAACTATTCATACAATAAAGTGATGCAGAGCTGGGGTCTTGGCTCAGCAGTAGAGCACTTGCCTAGCATGTGAAAGACCCTGTGTTCAATCCTCAGCATCTTGTAAAAATAGTAAATAAAATAAAGGTATTGTGTCCAACTACAATTTTTTAAAAGTAAACAAAGTGATAAAAAATTCAAAACTATTTAAATATTAAACTATTTGAAATTGCATTTAAAGAAGCATCCAACAATTCTTTCTTTTCTTTCAATCATAGCTGCAATGTTGAAATTTCTTACAAAAATCAAATGATTATCAAATCTAACCACAAAATTTGATAAATGTTTTAAAATAATAAAATATTTAAAAGCAATGATGAAGTTCTAAATTGCAGAATGTGCATGCATATTTAAAATAGTCCATGCAACTAGTTTTAGCAAGAGTAAGTGGGAAATTTACTCATGATTGGACAAAAGTATTGGATATATATTAAGACAGAATCAAGGCCATTGCCTAGGACTACACATAGGCTCTTCACCATACTTTTACTGACAATGGATTATGCCTTGGCCTACAGCTGGAATTGAGTTTGTTCTCCTCCAGTAGCACCATGAGCCCCTTGTTTAGAATGGGTAGTGCTCCAAGTCTCACATATGTCTACTTTGAGGACTGTAACCCACTCTTTGCTTACCAGTGTGCCACGGGTCATTAAGTAAAGAAGATTGATATATGGAACCATAATGCTAAAACTGGAAGCCTGGGCTTAATGCTTAAATATAATGAGGAATGCAAAAGAAAAGAGCTGGTTTTATTTAAGACAAAGGAAAAGGCTCAATAAATATTGAGCACTTATTCTGAGTTAGGAACAATGTGCCAGGTGATTTACTTACATAATCTCTCATATTTTTTATATTTGTTTATTTTAGTTGTAAAAAAATCTTTGTTTTTATTTATTTATTTTTATGTGGTGCTGAGGATCAAACCCAGGGCCTCACATGTGCTAGGTGAGCACTTTACCACTGAGCCACAACCTCAGCCTCCCCTCCCATATATTTTTTAAAACAACTTTTTAAGGACACTGTTACCATCCCATTTTTTGATTTAAATAATCAATATCCACAAAAAATTATCTTGCATAATCTCATGGAACTTGTGGGAGAACTGAGTTTCAATCCCAGTTTATCTGACTGGAAATTTCATAGTTTTATTCTGTTGAGTCCATGGACCTGGCTCAAATTCTACCACTGCTACTTATTTGTTACATGATTTCAGTTTACTTAATGTATCTTACTTCATCTGTAAATCAAAGGTAACAAATAGTTACTGTATCAAAAACTTCATTTTATATATATAAAATCTCCTCAAAATGAATGAGATAATGCATCAGATATGAGAGCCTCTAGGGTGTGGTCCAAGCATCTGTAGTTTTAAAATGCTATGGAGGTGATTCTAATCTAGAAGCAGGACATTCTAATATGCAAAGTACTAAATTAATGTGAACGGAGTGCTTAACTCAGAAATTGGTACATAGTAAGTGCTCAGAATCTTAATATTATAGTAGTAGTTGTCATTACCATTACCTTATAGATGCAATTTCTTGTGATGCATTTTGTATAAATAAATAAGTGAAGATTAAGTATAAAATATGACAAGATGAGATTTCTTGCAATGCTTACTTCCAAATACCTTTTATTCTTATCACTAACCACCACCTTGCTCAATGACTAGAAAATGTAAAAATGCATGATAAGGGATGATGTTAAATTTTGTATGTGATGTCATAGAGGAAGTATGATCTTTATGATAAGGATTTTTAAAAATTAAGTCCTAGTTCTACCAGTTAAAAGTTTGGGGATTTGGGGAAGGCAAGCCACTTAGCTTTTATTAGCTTTAGTTTATTCAATTGTTTAAAATTGAGCTAAGATGAATAACTTTGTATGAATAGAGAAGCTAAATGATATAGCATACCTAACATACCTAAGAAATTTTCTAGGCACAGAGTAGGATGCTAATAATAAATGTTCTACTTTATTTTCCATTTTTATTCACATATGCACATCATTTCTTTATTGGATTTCTCTATTTATTAATAATCTAGATCCTGAAAGTACAGTACGGCAGCCAGCTTCACTAGAAATGGATTTGACACCTGGAATCTCAGAGGAAAAAAGGGGGATTATAAGCCCTGTAAAGTTCAAAGGCTGTTTGTCCTTTTGATATTGATTTAAAAAATCAGACAGTAGCCAAGACCTTGGGAGAAGTAATTGAACTGACAACTAATAGGCATAGGTTTAAATAATGGAACAGCCTTGGACATTCTTGATGACTTAATTTAATGACAGAAGGGAGGTCTGAAACTGAAATGCCTGGAGTTGGGTGGATCAATGACTGGGTCTCTGAGGAGAAAAGTAAAGAAAAATTATTTCTAAGGGCTTATTTCATGGAACAAATTATTTTATGATTATCCCAAATGTGAAAATGGTGTTGATTTTCTTGTTTTAACAAAATGAAATTGTAAAGGCTTAAAATTTGTCATCATTTTTCTTAAATTTTTTTTAGTTGTAGATGGACGCAAAATCTTTGTTTATTCATTTTTTATGTGGTACTGAGGATGGAACCCAGGGCCCCACATATACTAGACAAGTGTTCCACCACTGAGCCACAACCCCAGCCCATCCATCATTTTTTTAACCCTTATTTAGGAAAATAGACTTGGTTATAGTTATGGTATTTTAGAATGTTGGTGAGCATCTGAAGGATTAAAATATGGATATCTTATCTTTTGATCCCTACACTTAAATATCAATTCTATCATTTATTAATTGTATGACTTTGAGCAAGTTAGGTAACCTGAGACTTAACTTCCATGTCTTCAAAATGAAGATGTTAACATTTATTTATTAGTTATAAAATATTTAAGATTTAAAATGTATATGAAATCCCCTAGCACTTCATATAACAAATCATTATCAAATGAAAAAATATATAAATTTTGATGCTCCTATCGCTTTGTACTGAAAGACTTTCCCTTTTTCTATTTATTCTGGCTGGCTTACCTCTGGCTTTATTCTATCCTTTGGACTACTTCAGTGGCTTTTTAATCTTTCAATCCCAAATTCTGTCTCTTTCACAATCTTCTCTTCCATCTTATGACCAAGTTTAATAAAACAAAGTTCTGATTTCTTTTATCTATACTACTGTCCTGGAAAGGCTTTGTGCATTGAGAACAACCTACTCCCCCATTTTAAAGGGGAAGTAATGTCTTTAGAATCTCATGCTGAGACTAGGGTTGAGCCCTGGACCCCTGGCCCATAGCAGAGGACAACAAAGGTACAGAAGAGGACGTATATCTCTAGGTCTATTCAAAGGTATCAGGTATTTGGAGAAATTTTTTATTGTAATTTTGTACTTGGTTATTATGTTTAGTGTTGTTGAATTTAAAAAATATTGCTGTTACCCTTATGGTAATATTCATTTCCATGCAAATTGTAGGTCAGCCTAGAGAGGGCAAATTTAAGAATAATTAAAACTTACTTAGCATTCTTATTACCAAATGAGATTCCAAACCCTGTATATACATTAATTCATTGAATTCCCATCTGAATTCCATGAGTTAGTTACCCCTAGGTTTCTGGGTTCCAAAGCTAACTGATACAAAGTTAATTATACTAATTAATAGTAAAAGAATATAATCGCTAAACTTATATGCTTAGCTGACATAACACATTGTAATCCTCTGAGCACTATTTATCCTTACTATACTGTTGGCCACTAAGCTATATGACTTCCTTTAAACTTCCTTATTTTCTTTCTTAATTATCAGGAAATGACAATGTGCATAATATAGCTATTTAATAATTTCTCTCTCTCTCTCTCTCTCTCTCTCTCTCTCTCTCTCTCTCTCTCTCT